TCTATTTATAAGTTATCCACCTAGATTATCATTGTCAGTATATGCTATCCTAAAGTCTGATGCTTCTTTGTACTTTTACACTTTTATCAAAATTGGTGCTTAACATTAATCAGTTTTTGATTAGCAAAGTATCTTTTAATTTAAGTCCAAAGACTGGCTCACAATTCTCATGATCTTTAATGCAATTTTTGCAGTGCATTTATATTTGTACCTCATATTCTAATTTCTTAAGTTAGCAGTATTTTAATAGACTCAATGCCTTTCTTCCATTTTCCTTGACTCACCTGCTGCAGTTTGTATTTTAACTCCTGCTTGTTCCAACCTAAGCCTGGTACTTTCTTCCATTCTTAAAGTGATTTTTTAAACCAAAACATGATTGAATGTTATTTTATTTTGACTGCGTGGTTGCAGTTGTTATTCCTGGTTATTTGCATCCAAATTATATAAGCCAAGAAAATCTCAATTAAAAAAATGAACCAATTATGTGCCTTTGCTCTCATCTGACCCAGTGGCATCTGATAATTTTTGACACTTATTGTTCAGAGGGAGAGGGTGGAGGGGGGTCTGTAGGTCTCTGTGGCTGCCTCTGCTATGAACGTGAACGGGGGGTGATATCCGTGATAGGGATATTCCCATCCAAGCCATCCTACGATGAGGATTCTCCTGCTCTGTGCAACTCTGCAGGAGGGAGGAATCACCACCCGCGTGCTCCGCAATTATGTGAAGCAAGGTGGGTTTGCACATGAAGGAGAAATCGGTCTGAATCACCACCGTTTCTGTCGACCTGAAGAAAAAGAAAAACATGCACCCGGACGGAGTGGACTCATCCTGTTATGAAACGGGCAGCAGAAAGGACCCGGGCCATACCCGGACCGACCGTACCTCCCGAACCGCTCCCCACCCCCCACCCCTTTTTCTGCTGCACCAGGGGGCCTGCCTTCCGCTGACCGAGGGTTCGTTTCTCACGGCCAGGTCAAGCTGAGTGCGGGCGCTGCGCTGACAGGGTTTATTGATACCTATGGTAGAGTAGGGCTGGATAGAGCATGGCCGAGCATGGCCCTCTTCTGCGTCGCAGTTTGATGGAATTCCCCGGCCCTGGTGCAGGCAAGTGGACGAACGAGCTTCACCCACGGCTCCGCACGGCTCACACAGATTTTTTATTCCACGCTTCTATCTCACCCATGTCTTCCCTGCATCTTCTTATTGCCGCTGTATCGTTTGGCCCGGAGAGGTGAACAGACTCCGCATCGGTCACGGTCCAGCGACCGGGTGGACAAATGCGTCCACTTCACTCGAGTCCGCTCGCATTCACCAAACGCCCCGGGCGCCTCTCATCAACTTTGATCGAGGACCAGAACGACAGTGGCCCATTTTAAATTCATCGTCCCTCTTCAATCTCTATCAGGTGGCTGACTCACACCGCGCCGCGCACTTTCGTCGTTAAACTGCAGGCGTGTGGGTGGGTTGCCGACTCGCACGGGGCCGTAAGGAGCCGCGCGCACGGAGGATAGGCAAACCCGCTCGCGCACGAGCATGCGGTACGGTATAACTAGGAAAGTGCGCGGCGTGAGTCAGCCACCTGGCACAGTCAACCAAACCGAGTCAATGAAACGGTTCTGCAGCGAGCGTGTGTGGCTCTTTGTGTCTGCGTTCTGATGCACTTCATTCTGCACGACAACCGTCAGGGACCCACTTACCAAAAGGGCCGCATCAGGGCCGGGCCACAGATCACGTCACCGCCGGTATGCGCAGCCGATAACCCCCCGGCCCTCCTTGTTTCCGGTTCTTCCCCGCAGGACGGCGCCGGACCGGACGAGAAAGACGGGTTTGCCGCGCGGGGTTGCGTAATCCTGCCCTGGATTGGGCTCCCCGGTCCGGAGGCGTCGGCGCGGAGCGGGGCGGGCCGGCCGGTCAGCCTTTTACATATATGCGGAGGGTGGACCGGCCCATAGCCTCGGCCTGCATGCGGATAGCGCTACTTACTTTTAGCCTGGTTTAACCCCCCGCCCCCTCCTACACACTCACACACTTATTTCAAATCTCTCCTCAACCATCTGTGCTGCCTCCTTCCAGCACCGCTTTGGTCCTTCCCTCCAATCTCTCCTCCGTCGCTTCCTCTAGCCTGCGGGTCCCCGGACGCCGCGCCGCGGCCGCGCCCCGCCCCGCTCCACAGTTGGCAGACGCGCCCGTGCCCAGCTGCCCGTCGCGACGTAGTCCACCACGCCTCCAGCCCCTCGCTCCATCTACTTCCGGTCACTTCCGGCCCCGTCGGGCCGGGCCGGGCTGGACACCGGACCCGGGTGGCCGACCAGAGTGTCCGGACCGCCCCGACGGGCAGCGCACGCCACACAAGGAAGTGGGCCGTGACGTGAGCACCGCCCCGCCCCGCTTAAGAGATGACTTAAGTTTCGCGTTGAATGAGCTATCGGCCGCATTGTTGGTTTCCCAAGCCAGTCACGGACTCGCCACCTGCTGCCTATGGGAGGGCGATCGCGGAGAGCTCCCCGGATGTTTCTACTTCCGGTGACAATATCTGGGTGTGGGTGAGCAATAAAGTAGCTTTGTTTTTAGAATCAAAGAAACTTTCTTTGGATAAAAATATTCTTTACGTCTCCATCAAAGAAATTTGGGCTATATTGTTCATTGTTTTCAAGGAAGGACTCTCTACTGTGTGTGGGCAATAACGTAGTGCCACCGCCGGGGGCGCCGGGAGGGAAACAGAAAACGAGTTTGTTTGTCTGGTTGTGTCAACGGGGACCTCCCGAGGACGGCGACATGGTCTAAACACACCCCTACACTTCTCCCTATATTTGGGTTCTTTCCTCAGAACGCTACGAAGGACACAGACCGCCGCCGCCGATGCCGTGGAAGAAAACAAAGGATGGGTCCACCGCCGTTAAAGGCTTTCTTCCGTAACACTAAGTTACTGCGGCGTCGCGTGGCCTCCGGCTGTGGCCTCCGGCTCCTCCTTGACCTCCAAGCAGGGCCGCCGCCCTCCACCGCGCCTTCGCTGCACTCCAAATCCTGGCCATCCCTTGGCGGTCTATCCACTCCCCTCTCTTCATGCCCCCCCCCTCCCCCCGGCGGAGGG